GGCGACCCCAGAGGACGCATGTGGGACAAACGAGGGCATCTCCACACCCGTCACTAGGGTAGGCTGGAAGTGTGAGAAGTCGGGGACAGAGACCTGAGTGTGCCCAAAATACAGCACACAAGCTGATGGCAGAACTTTCCTGTGTTGTAGCTTCTATCAGAAAATTGCAGATAATTCTGTGCTTTACTGGCTCCTTGGTTGGCTCCGTACTAGTGAAATATTTAAGTGAGTGAAAAAACGTTGAGCTGAGCTGCTGTTTCTCGTGAGGACTAGAGGACAGTTCGTGCTGTGTCATAACACAGGTGCGGAAGGTAGTCTTTGTCCTGCCGTCGAGTGATCGCCTGTGTTCTCACACACTGAGGACCTGCTGGGACTCAAATTCCAGAAGAAACGTACTGCGTTTCCGTGCCTGCTTGTGGTTTCTCTGGTGGAACCAGACGGGGGCAGGGCTCCCACGTCACGAGGTCCTGCAGAGCCTCATGCGCCGCTCTCATGCCCGCAGGTGTTCTCCTGCAGGAGCAACATGAACAAGCACCTGCTGACCCATGGCGACAAGAAGTACACCTGTGAGATCTGTGGGCGCAAGTTCTTCCGCGTGGACGTGCTCAGGGACCACATCCATGTTCACTTCAAGGTGCCAGTCACACGCCACCCTCTCCCAGGTTGCAACCAGGGGCATCACAGGCCCTCAGCGCCAACATCTGTCTTGGTCAGGTCGGGCTGCTGAAACGAAACAGCATAGGCCAGGCGGCTTGTAAACACCAGGGAGGTGTCCCTCACAGTCCTGCAGGCTGGAAGTCCGAGATGCAGGCGCTGGTAGATTCGGTGCCTGGTGAGGGCTTCCTGATTCATAGACAGTGCCTTCTCTCTGTGTCCTCACATGGTGGAAGGGGTGGTGGCTCTCTAGGGTCCTTTCATGAGAGCACTGACAATGGGTTCATGGGACCCCACCCTCGTGACCTCACTACCTCCCAAAGGCCCCACCTCCTAATACCATCACTTTGGGGGTTAGGTTTTGACATACAGGTTTTGGGAGGACACAAGCATTTAGACCATAGTAGTATCCTGAAATAGTTATCAACTTGGCCGCCCTTAATTTCTTCAAAATGCGCTCTTAAGACTAGGTTGCTCTGTCTCACGCAGCCTGACTGCAGGGCCTGAAGGGAATTCCTCCCTGTAGCACTTCCCATTGGGGGGTGTGTCGCTCCCTCTCTGCCCCCGAGGAAAGGGAGGAGTTGAGTGGCAGCTCCAGGGAACAGTGAAGATTGGAGGTGTCATTGAGGGAAGGAGAGTCACTGTCCCAGGATGAAAGGGAAGAAGCAATACATGGTATCAAAGGCGCATAGCTGCCTTCTCGCAGCCCCCAGTCTGGCACAGGTGTGAGAGGACGGCCGGGGTGAGGCTCAGAGGGCTGGTTCTGAGTCAAGGTGGTGAGCCCAGGGCCCAGCACCTGTCCTACCAGGGCCACAGCCGGCATGGCTCAGTGGAACGTCCTGGGCATCGGAGGTGTTTTCTTCAGTAATGATACCTGTGGCATTGCTGATTAAAGTTCCTGCCACACGGCGTTGGAAACCAGATGTTGTGACTGTTTTCCAGGACATTGCGTTGATGGACGACCACCAAAGAGAGGAGTTCATTGGCAAGATTGGGATCTCATCTGAGGAGAACGATGACAATTCCGATGGGAGTGCAGACTCGGAGCCCCACAAGTACAGCTGCAAAAGGTGCCAGGTATCTTGGCCGTCCCTCCTTTACATGCGGGGCTTGTCTGGAAAGGAAGCTGGTCGCTGCAGGACTGCAGGACCCACATGGCACCTCTGCAAATTGGCAGAGGGCTCTCTCTCTGCAAAGGTGGGGTACCTGTGCCTCAGATGTGTCCTGGTGGGCCACCCCATGTCACCCATTCCTCAGGGATGGGAAATGGTGGGCCTCACAAATGCCCTGGCTGCAGCAGCCTCACAGCCCAGTCTGTGTGCACATGCCGGGCTGCTGACCAGGGCGGGTTGGTCCTCTGGAAGGTCACCTGTGCTGACTGCAGGCTCCTCTCCCTCTCCTCCTCCCTCAGCCCTGAGGCGCCTCGTGCAATCTCCCCCCCACACAGAAGGGGGCCTTTTTAAAGGGAGGGTGGTTTGTTTCCAAGGAGACCCGCACTCTGAGTTTTCAACAGCCTGCTGTATGAGTGGGGCTCCCACCAGAGGCTTCAGTGCTGGGAAAAAGCCGCAGTCCCTATCACGTCCCATAGCATCCCTTTCTCTCTGGCATGAGTCTTGGTCTCTCGCAGGGCACCTTGGGGTGTAGGAGTGACGTAATTAGCTAAGGAGGACCAGGGCCCATGCGGGGTGTCAACGGTCTGTGTGTCTGTCCGTGCACCCGCAGCTCACCTTTGGCCGGGGGAAGGAGTACCTGAAGCACATCATGGAGGTGCACAAGGAGAAGGGCTACGGCTGCAGCACCTGCAAGCGGCGCTTTGCGCTCAAGGCCACCTACCATGCCCACATGGTCATCCACCGCGAGAACCTGCCTGACCCCAACGTGCAGAAGTGAGGCCTCCCCCGGGCAGGGCCCAGAGTCCAGCCAGAAGGGAGGGGCATCTTCACGAGGAGAGATAGGTGTCAGCTCCGAGCGGGTGATGTGTCATGGAGTCCCAGACTGGGGCTTTGGGGGTCCTGTCCCTTTTCTCCTGTGCTTCGTCACAGGCCTCACTCCTGGCTGTCATTGTCTCGTGTCTGGACTCATGGCACGAGCAGACCATGTAACATAAATAGCATGATTCTTGGCCGGCCCACACAACCACCAGAAGCCCTTTCTCCCACAGTGATTAGGTTTATTAATGGAGCCCCACATCTAGCATGAGGCCCATAATCAAGGCTGTGGTGAGTGAATGGATGGACTTGTCAAGAGCCTGGATTAGTCTCCTGGCGCTGCCGTGACAAAGTCCACAGATGGCGGGGGCTCAAACAATAGATGTTTATTCTCTCAATTCTGGAGGCTGGAAGTCCAAGATCAAGGTGGGGCAGGGCTGGTTCCTCCCGAGGCCTCTCTCCTGGGCTTGCAGGTGGAGTCTCCTTGTGTCCTCACGGGGTCGTCCCTCTGTGCGTGTCTGTGTCCTGAACTACTCTTCTATAAGGACATCAGTCAGACTGGATTAGGGCTCAACTAATGATTCCATTTCACTTTACCTCTTTAAAGGCCCTATCTTGAAACACAGTCACATTCTGAGGTCCTGGGGGTCAGGACTTCAGCATATGGATTTGAGGGACACAAGTCAGCCTGTAATAGAGGCTGACACACCTGCTTCTTTTATCGACCACGTAGCACCTTTTTGCCTCAACTTTGCCAATAAAGGTGCTTGGGAAAGTGCCCTTTGCCGCTAACAGGCCCACATGGCTGTGTGGCTCATCCTGAGGCCTGTCTCTGCTTTTAGGTACATTCATCCCTGCGAGATCTGTGGGCGGATCTTCAACAGCATCGGGAACTTGGAGCGCCATAAACTCATCCACACAGGTAGTGAGTTCTGGCCCCCACTGCGGTGGGAGGACAAGTGAACTCTGGCCGACCAGGGCTCTCCTGGTGCCTCATGCATGGGACAGTCATACCTCACCTCCCTTGGATGCATTCTGCTGTTTGTGCAGCTTCTCCTGTCCTGTCGCCCCTCCCTCTGGCAGTAGGGCCCCTCCCTGCCCCGTCACCCCCCCCTCCACATTGTCACTGTGCTTCTAGCTGCAGGGGAGGTGCGGCCACAGGTTGGAATGTTTCAGCGCTGTGGTGGTGTGGCTATGCTTGCTTGCAGGGGTGAAGAGCCACGCCTGCGAGCAGTGTGGGAAGTCCTTTGCCAGGAAGGACATGCTCAAGGAGCACATGCGCGTGCACGACAACATCCGCGAGTACCTGTGCGC